AATATAGTTTATCCGATCTTCTTTCTCCGCATTCGATTGCTGCTCAGCCGATAGATTTGCATAGGCCTGCTCAAGTTCTGTGCGCGCAGAATCACGAGCCGCAGATGCAGCATCACAAGCCGTAGATGCAACAATAAGATCTGAGCGAGCGATCCTGAGTTCAGCTACCGTTTTTTCTAGTGCCGCTGACAAACAAATTATACGATCTTCTTTCTCCGCATTCGATTGCTGCTCAGTTGATAGATTTGCACGGGCCTGCTCAAGTTCTGTGCATGCAGAATTATTAGCCGTAGATTCAGTATCATGAGCCGTAGATGCAGCATCACAGCGCTCAGCTTTAGAAACGTCCCGCTCCGAACGGTCCAGAACGCCGTCACTATCGAATCCGGCAGAATCATCGTTGACGAGAGTATGAAAATCGCCGTCGATTCCGGAGTCTTGCGCATGACATAATTCTATTTCCAAATCGTTGATTCTCTTTTGTAAGGCTTGTTCATTGGCGGCTCTTTTATTTTCACGCGATCGCAGTCGATGGAGAATGTTTTGATCCACCGGTAACATTTCCACTTCAAGTCCATTGTCCTCAACGTTAGCCCGCGGTTCTTCCTGTAATAGAGAATTGGCAAATTTATGCCATTCACTTCTGTGAAACCAAGTGCCACTTAGGATTAGAACACATAAACGTACAAATATTTTAACCTGAGCAAATACTCGAAAAATAGGTTGCATTCTCATGACCATCTAGAATGAAAAGAGACATGATATTTTGCTGTAAAAATAATAGCTTTCATACCGTATTATTAGGAGCTTCCTATCTTCCTTTTTAGATTTCGCACTCCCGCACATCTCGCACAACCGGAATATTATATTCGAATATATATTATACAATATGAAATTTTGCCCACCACGATTCACGTTATTTATAAGAATCAGGGCGTGATTTTTTTATCATATAGCCACACCCCCTCTACTATTGACAAATAGTAGTATAGTAGAAGCAGCATTGAAAACTATCGATAAAAAAACACGGCCTGGTAAACGATAAAGACTGACTTGGTAGCAAACTAGTTTACGACCCGTCGAGATATCATAACGTCAATCGAATTTCAAACTGTATTCCATAACACACATGTTGTCCGGACATGTCGTCATAGTGAAGTAGTTTCCGACCATCTTAAACATGTCGTCACAGGGAAAAATGCCGTCTTAAACCAGCCCAAAAAAAGCCCCCCCTTAAACGCGAATTGTTTTTGTTTTTGTTTTGTAAAAAAACAATATAAACAAACAAAACAAAAACTGAAAAGAAAACTAAAACAATAAATATAGATAATACTAATAAAAACTATAAAAAAACAAATTTGTTTGTGAAAAAATACAACACATATTTGTAAATACATAACATGGAAAATTTTACAAAACGAAATACTTTTTGTTTTTGTTTTGAAACAAAACAAAATATAACAAGAATTGATATTGTATATTTTGGTTCTTCATTTATATTTTGTTATAAAACAAAAAAAGTACAATTCTACTATCTCTGGCATTTGTTTATTATTCGCGAGAAAAAATATTTTTAACTAACGTCAGTTGTTTTAAATAAAACTAAGCTAAAATAATAAATATAAATATGTTGTCTACATATACTCTGATGAAATAAAAATATGTACAAATTGAAAATTCCGAATTTTTGTAAATCTAGACTCTAGTATGTAGTAGAGTGTAGTATCTATCATATCGTTCATATGACCTCACAAGTCACAACTCATCTAATACAACTACACATGAATTCACTACTCACTACTCACTACTCAATAGTCAATACCTCTAATCAGTGAATCTGTGAGTATTCACTATTCAGTCGTTCGACGTATGTACAGTCGTTCAACCACTTCATTTTTGTTTTAAAAACAAAATTAGAATTCTACTTTACAATCTACATATGTATTTAGCCGGTGGCGTAGCTCACTACTAAATAGCCCAGGCTGCCCAGCCCACAGGCGGGCAGACCGGCTGGCCCCCAGTGCCCACTCCAGAGTCCTCTGTGCCCAATGCCCACTGCGGCTCTGCCGCTCTGCCCAGCAGTCAGCCCAGCAGTCAGCCCACGGCCCCACGCCCCACTTGTTGCCGAATGGTATTTAAATTTATTTATCTTTATTACTCAGACCTCTATGAGCACAACTCATTGTACTCATTACTCAATACTCGGAAAGTGAGGCATGAGCCAATGTCCCAACGACCAACAGCCCCGCCAAAACGCCAATTGAGCATGCCTTCTAAAGGTTCTAAACTTCTATGTATGACTGTTTTTCATGTATTTATTTACTAATTTCTTTATTAAAAAAATACTGTTTTATGGATTTATTATTGTTTTTAGGGGGGATTTTATACATATATAAATCTATAATATCATCTAAACACAACAAAAAGACCTTTTTTTTAACAAAATACTATTAAAAAAAATCTCACATCTGACTTTCACAATTTCTCAGATTCATTTGATAAATATTATTAGCTCTAGCCGCTAGGATTGTTATTTATGTTTAAAAAAATAAGTTAAATATGTATATACGGTGTTTTAAAATCTAAAAACATATAAATCACTGTGAAAAATAAATGCCAAATAAGGACAAAGTATAATCCATAAAAAATTAAAAAATTATGGACTGTAGTGGATGGCCGGTCCTATCTGAGTCCGCAACGATGTCCCGACCCACCGTGACAACAGCACCTGACAGAGACTCCCAGAGTCCCAGTTGCAGAGAACAGCAACGAGCACTCCCGAGTTCAGAGTCTCAAGGGATGGAAATTGGAATGCCTCGGAGTTGGATGCCGATGGAGATTGAAGATGAAGTGTAATGTGTTGTAGACTGCACTTATTTACAAGTGGACAAATATGTTTTTAATATACATAATATTGTATTATATTCAGTCACAAATAACTCTGTTACAAAATATCCGAATTTCTCGGCACAGGGCTCATTTGAAAGCCCTCGACGAGATGAAGAAATCAATATATAGTTCTTAGTACTATAAATGAATATTGGTGGTAGTATAGGGCACCGGTAAATGGTACCTTTTTGTTAGTACAATAACATGTACTTTAGCATATGGGCTATATGGTATAGTTATATTGAACATTATATGGGTTTATTAACATGTACGTGTCTGTGTTGCCGCGCTATTCCATGGCGTCTGATTTTGTATACTTCGATGTACACCACCTTCGAAAATTTTAGGCATTGGGATTTTAGAGCTCCAAAAAAATCAAATATTTGCCATTCTGTGCATTACGTAACATTCCACACATAGTGTGTTTTCCGATGAACATACGCAGTATTTACGCTTCCGAGGTCGTTTGACGAACTTGAGTTGTGTGCATAGTATACCACTACACTTCAAAGCTTAGGAATTAGACTTAACCTTATTAAAAGACCGATTATGCTTGTTACATGCTCCTGTATTTGTTGGTTTTAGTGCGAACTTACACGAACTCTCTTGACTCAACATATCGCTGCGCATCAATCTTGTACTAGCATATATTCTTAGCAGTTCTTTTGCCAGCATAGGTTTCAAACTATATTAAACTAAAATA